TCTTCCTGAACCCAAACTGTAGCTTTTGACTTCCACCAAACCTGTCAGCCTGCTGCTAACTGGAAACCTAAACAATAACAGTTGAGTATAACATATTTACTGTGCTGTAATTATAAGGGTAACTGTGTGACAAAGGTAACACATGCATGAGAACCTTGAACAATCATTCTTTACTACCACTCTTTTACTGAAGAGACCAACTCTCCATGCGGAAATTGTCAGTGTCACCCAGCATTTTAAGCAGATGTTGGTAACACTTGACCTTGGTAAGTGCAGTATCAAAAAGTACGGAATTATTATAGCAGTTCTAAGCGGCTCTAAGAGATGTTACTACTATCTACATATTTTATGGCTTTGTCACGTTTCGTTATCTTTTCCTTTCTTTTTCTTTTGGAGGAGATTCACTTTATTCCTCTGATGCACAGCAGCATACAAGGCAGACTTTACCTGACTCCATTTCTTGAAGAGTTTGCCTGCTTCAGCCAGTGGGGCAAAACACTTGATCAGGAATGTTTTTCTAAGACATTTTTACAGGGATGTGGCATCACGGGGCAGCAATTATATCCAGTGATAGGAATCTTAGCCTTAGAGGAAAAGCTCTGCAGCAGACCCTCTGCTTCCCAGCAAGACTGAGGCAGAGAGGGAGAGCGCAACAGCAGATTGCAGAACAGAGGTAGAACAGTGTGAGTGGAAGAGCTGAGGAGAAGGAGCTCAGCAACAACCCAAGTCATTAGGCTCCTTCCTTCCTAGGTTCTGAGCAGAAACCCCGCTGGATACTAAGATGGTTTTAGTTTCAAAGCCTGGCTTTGCTCCAGGGTACCAGAGGCCACACCAGGCAAAGGCCTCATAGGTGATACAGGCAGAGATGTAGAGCAGGATGTTCTCAGGACCACGTGCACGCACAGCAGGCTGAAGGAAGCTAGAGGTAGAGACTGCACTTCATAAGCTCGAACAGCATTTAAATCACAATTCCTCTGCAGCTCTGACCCCTCTCTATAAGCTGTCACCAATCACTTCTTAGGCAGAGGACAAGGCAGCAGGAAGGAGAGGAGCTGCAGAGGCAAAGACTACTTGGCTCCCGCCACTCCACACCCACTTGTGCTGAAGGAAGGAATCTTCCCCTTTGAAGGACATATAGGCTGCTGAGATGAGGGCTCTTCCTTGAAATGTGAATTGCAGGAATCACCATTTTTGACATCCTGGCATGTTAGGGTTAAGCCAAGAATGAATTTCAGGCACTTGACTGTCTCCAGGAGCCAGAATGATGCTCAGTCTAGTGAGGACCAGTAACTTGATACATAACAACAGGTCAGATGATTAATGTTGGTGAAGATGGTTCTCAAAGGCTGGTGAGTTTTACAGGCATGTTAGGTAATCTGGGGAAATCAGTTTTTATCTGCATAAATTCTAAGGGCAAAAGGTGTGGTACAAAAAGTTCTTCAGAAGTATTCTATCATTTTATTGGATTATTGATATTATGACTTTTAAGCTATTACATCTAAATTTTGTGATTAAAACAAATGATTGATTATGCCATCAAAAGGTGGTACAAAATGAAAACACCACAATCTTAAGTCTGACTTGGAAACCTTCCATTAAATTAATATGGACTAATCGTGAATTTTCCTATGAATAAGTTCTATTTATATTTCTCTCCATAAGAAACTGACAATCTAGCAGGAATGAGAAGGAATAGGAGCCTCCTATTGTCCCCTTCAGGTGACTACCTAATCCCAGGTTACCACTCTCCAGGTTTCTAGGACACAAAGTTCTGCCTATTTTGTTACTGAAGAAATGATGCCCATCTTCTTCACTGACTTTCATTTGAAAAATGCTGCCCTACTGCATTAGTTTGCTGCTTTACATACAGTGCTCTACTGTATGAAAACACCACAGTTTCTATACCTCTCCCATTATCGATGGACATTCTCATTATTAAATCTAACAATCAAATCTCCTATGAATATATTTACAAGTCCTTTTTTGAACAAATGCTGTCTATAGCAGATTTTCAGTAATTAGATGGTACATGTGTATATTGGTGGGAATAAATATCAACCTTAGTAACTAATGCCAGTTCGTTCATGAAAATAGATACAATATTTATTTCATGTTTCTTATAAAACAGAATCCCAGGTTGATAAACTAGTTAATAAAAACGAAAGTTTTTGTGTATAAAACTTTCCTTATGATAAGAAAATGACAAGTCAAAAGATGACCGTTTGTAACTCCTAGTAAAGAAATGAGCCTGCATTTTGGTAATGGACCTGGAAGCGTTCAGACGGATGGAATAAGGTGAAGGTACCTATACCAATGAACTAATATTTCTACATCAAATAATGGGACAGCAAAGACACTATGAATCGCCTTGTGATGCAGAGAGAAATCTCTTCACTACTTCCAATAAAACTAAGATTGAGTGTTTCTCTGCCATTCGCTATTCCTCTACATAAAGTTCTCTGTTTAGCTCTGTTCCCCATTTTTTAATTGGATTACTTGGTTTGCTGCTTTCCAGCTTCTTTAGTTCTTTATATATACTGGATATTAGCCCTCTGTCAGATAAAGGGTTGGTGAAGATTCTTTCCCAGTCTGTATGCAGTCGTTTTGTTTTGATGATGGTGTCCTTTGCTTTACAGAAGCTTTTCAGTTTCATGAGGTCCCATTTATTGATTGTTGCTCTTAGAGCCTGTGCTGTTGGTGTTCTGTTCAGGAAGTTGTCTCCTGTGCCAATGAGTTCAAGGGTATTCCCCACTTTTTTTTTTCTAACCGATTTAAAAAGCACTTTAATTATAAGATTAAGAAATACCTGTTCCTGAGGATCTTTTTTTTTCAGACAACATTTAATTAATGTTGTCATTAATGTTGAGAATGGCACTTTGCATAAATAAAAGATAAAGATAACATTTCTGCATGTTTATCTTTTATTTATGCAAAGTGTCATTCTCAACATTAATGATTGTAAAATAAAAATATTGATCAGCTCTGAAAAAAAAAGATCCTCAGGAACAGGTATTTCTTAATCTTATAATTAAAGTGCTTTGTAATTTCAAAAAAAAACTAAGATTGAGGCAAAATCAAACTTCTGGATCTAAAATACTACTTACTGGACATGCAGGAGAAAGGGGAACACTTTAACAACACGAGTAAGAAGAAACCAGAAGAACCCAGAGTGTGGTAGAACCTAATAAGATTGACCCACCTACTCCAATACACTGATGGGGTTAAAAAGGAGAGTGGTCTAGAGTTTTAGATACAACAACAACAACAACAACAACAACAACAAAAAGCCTCTAGGGGAAGGTGCCCAGACCCTGGGCTGGAGAGTGTGGGACAGGGTAGGGAGGTGTATAGCAGCCATACCCTGTTGACAGGTAGGGAGGAGAAGCTAGGGGTCAGGACCACTTTGATAAGTTAAGTAAGCATCTCAGCCAGGGTTTGAGACTTAGTTTCCTGATTGGAGTCTGATTCTTTTCCTTTTTTAAAAAATTAATTTATTTTTTATTAATTACAGTTTATTCACTTTGTATCCCAGCTGTAGCCCCTCCCTCATCCCCTCCCAATCCCACCCTCCTTCCCTCTTTTCCCCCTATGGCCCTCCCCTAGTCCACTGATAGGGGAGGTCCTCCTCCCCTTCCATCTGACCCTACCCTAAAAGGTCTCATCAGGACTAGCTACATTGTCTTCCTCTGTGGCTTGGTAAGGCTGCTCCCCCTCAGAGGGAGGTGATCAAAGAGCCAGCCAATGAGTTCATGTCAGAGACAGTCCCTGTTCCCATTACTAGGGTGGACTCTATCCAGCAGGGTATCAAAGCAGAGGCTGAGATTCATAGCCAAACTTCCAAAGACCATGCATGGAGATAATCTAGAACCCCTGCACGGATTCTGGTTCTTTAATACTGTTCTATCTCCTGCTCAGCTTAGAAGTCAAGGCTTGTAGCCCCGGAACCCCAAACATCCCCAGCGAGCTGTCTCAGAAGTTCATACTACATCACAGCACATTACCTGCCTTATCCCTTGTTTCCAGTTGTTGGCATCATGTTCTCCTACACTGTGTTTACTGATTTATCTCTGATTGATCCCCAGCCCACACAAAAGTAAAAACCTCACCAAGGCAAGAGTTTTGTTTTGTTCTGAGAATACCCCAATAATCGGAACAGGGTCTCCCCCCAGGAACCACTGCATGAGACATTCGTGTTCAGGTTCCTTAAAGGCACTGGCCTGGTTTCACTTGACAAGACCGGCGTTTTGTGAGCATGCACTGCTCACTTAAGAGGAATTAGCTTCAGTTTTATGGACTCTCTTCTGTCTAGGTGGCAGTACAAGTCTAGGATAATTTCAATGGGTGGAGATGAAGGAAAAAGTAGTCATGCACCTTCAGATTTCTGAGTTATCTCTGCCATCCTCTTCACCAGACATTCTTCAGATTCTACCACTTAAAGATTTTGACTCGGACAGGTGGTGAAGTCTAAACTCACACAGTTACCGTGTGTTCCCTCCTCAACCCCTTCCCCTTTTATTTGTTTATGACTTTCACAGAGCTGGATGCCAAGATCGGGGAAGCATTTTCCAGGATGGAAGCAAGGAGGGGAGGAGCAGGGAGACTGCCAAAGGTGTCTCCTTGAATCCTTGGAGATGGCCTAAGCTCAGCGTAAGGAAGCAGGAGGGAGGATGGCTACTACAGTGTCTGCCGCCCGGCTATTAAATGGCAGTTTAAAGGCTCTTTACAACTTCGTGATTCCAAAATGGAATAAGGCGGGGAGGGGGAAGGCAACGAGGAACGAGCGAGAAAGGTCCTCTGGCAGCCTCCTTATAAACATTCCAAGTAGCTTTTTGAGTTCACATTCTCGACTTTCCACACCAGTGACTTTCCTTAACTGGGGCTGGCTCCTGCTGCGGTGATCAGCACCCTAGAGCACCACGTGGGTCCTTTAAGAGGGCGCCGTGGCCCTTGCAACCCCGGGGCACGGGAGATCGAGGCTGCCCCGGTGAGTGTGCTTGGGGCGGCGGCCACGGTGGGGGCGGAGGGTGGCTCTGCGCCCACGATGTTCCCCGTGCCACCCTGAAAACGCGGCGGCGCGGGGGCATGGCAGAGATGCGACCGGGGCCAGTGACCGGGACGCAACTCAACGCGCTGCCCGATCACTCGCCTCTGCTACAGCCCGGCCTGGCCGAGCTCAGGCGCCGGGCGCAGGAGGCGGGCGTCCCGCAAACCCCACAGCCACTCACCGACGCCTTCTTGCTGCGCTTCCTGCGCGCCCGGGATTTCGATCTGGACCTGGCCTGGCGGGTGAGTGCGCACAGGGTTCCCGCAGACCTCGGTGAGCTCGGGTTCCACTCCCGCCGAGCGTGGCAATGTGGCTGCCAATGCGCCCAGAGCCCGGTGGCCCGCGCTGAACCCTGCGTGGACTAGTACAGAGCCCGAGATTAAAGAAAGTGAGTTCAGCCTTGACACACCTGAGAAGACAACTCCAAGTGTGGTCAGAAAAGGACGAAATGGACACCCGAGGAAATCTTGAAAAAAACCTATGTTAATAGATCTAAATGCCAGTATAGTCAGGCAGCTTGGCAAGTTTGAAATCCAGGGCAGGATGGGCTATTTTGTGCTTCAGGTATTCACAACACTGCGAACACACTGGCCCTGGGGCCAGAGAGGTGCAACCTTGAGTTTGACCCTCTAGGGCTCCAAGTCCTTATCTGTTCAGTAACTGTGAGGACATGACAGTAGTTCCAAGAATTGCACATTAACCTGTAACGGTTAGAACAAGATGTGCACAGCTCTGTGCCTGGCACTGAGTGGTCAGCGGGTCAGCTGAAGGACCTGACCTAGACCTTTCTCCATGGGAAAATACTAGGGTGCAGAATTCCAGCGTGCCCCAGTTTATTGCAAAAGCAACACAAACAATACAAAGCAGTTGAAAATTTTCAAGGAAATTTTCTAAAAGGAACAAAAGCATTCCCAGCACAACCTTGAGTTGGCAGCTGAGTAACCAGGAGCGTCATACTGCCTGTTGGAAATGGTGCGAGAGGTTGTTTGTGTTGTTGGCTTTTCTCACCGGCTGTTGCTCAGAGCCACGTCGTGTGAGCACGTGCACATGCATTCTAGTCTTTGTTGAGCTGCTCTTAGCCCACAAGATGGAGATATTACAATCAATGTGTCCAATCAGTTCCATGTTTGTGCAGTCGAGATCAGTACCAGGTGCGTCAGGCCCATGCTCACTGCTCATGCCTTCCTTCATTCGGGGGTGGGGACCCCCAGTTCTGCCATGTTTGCCATTCATCCCTTCATTTAGCGTTTCTCTCCTTCCTTTTTTCCACCCACATTCTGCCTAGCAGTACAAAACCTGCCATCGGCAGGTGCATGTTTTCTCTCACCGACTGCATCCTAGCCTGGGTTTACACTTCATCCTTATACACAAATAGGAACATATCCTTATGCATCTGTACTGCACAAATCCATCACGTGCAGAAGTGTGATGCTCATATTTTCAGGGTTGAGGAATGCAACAGCTTTGCAGGGAGTTTTCACTATGTTTTCTACTCTGATAAAGTGTGCACTGCATATAGGTGTCTTCTCCGTATTATTATGTATATTGCCTTACCAAATATGATATATACCTGCTAGATGAGAAAGTTTTTTTTATAATATACATCAATATTGTTATTAGTGAGGTTAACCATATTTTAGATATCTAAAACTAATTTTCCAGTTACATTTTTGACATATTTTTTCTTCAAAAATACATATTTACATCAAAGAAATTATGCCTGTCCTAGCTTACAGCCTATCTGATATTTAAACTATGTCCTTTCTGAAATAACTAGAATGTTTAAATATAATTGAATGTATTGATTGTTCTTTGCTCTTGAGTTTCATTTGTGTTTTGTTTGCTGGTGACAGGAGTGTATCAGAAGGTTAGCAAGTTAACTGTGCCTTTGTCAAGACTAAGTCTTGCCATATATACCACAGCCATGAAGCTGGTGAAATGATCTTTCTCCATCTTTTCACTGTTGCTTCCTTTTTCCTTTTTCTTTCTTTCTTTCTTTTTTTCTTTCTTTCTTTCTTTCTTTCTTTCTTTCTTTCTTTCTTTCTTTCTTTCTTTCTTTCTTCCTTCCTTCCTTCCTTCCTTCCTTCCTTTCTTTCTTTTCTTTCTTTCTTCTTTCTTTTCTTTCCTGTAGAGCCTCACGATCTTGAACAAATGCTGCCACTCCTGTGGTAGTTTGCTTTTTATAGGACTACTGTATTTCTCTTGTGGAACTGAACCCAAGTTTTGCTGGGTAAACAGGATTCTACTGCATCACACCTCTAGCCTTTGTTTTGGAGGTACTCTAAGACTTTTTCCTTTACTTCCCTTCTCTTCTCTCCTCCTCCCCCTTTTCTTTCTTTTTCTGAGCTGGAGACTGAACCCAATGCCATGTACTTAGCAGGTCAGAACACTAGGACCGAGTTACATCCCCAGCCTGTGTAGAAATGCTTCTATCCAAACTTTTCTTTAGAAATGAATTGGTTGTCTATTTTAATGTTGATTTCAATTTATTGAGATTATTTTGATGTTAGAGATTAAATTATCCTTTACCTGTGCATTCTAGGTATGAAGAGTCTCAACAGCAATCAATGAATGCACTAGTGTGCGCTTTGCAGCCACTGAATGTGAAAATGCAGTCCCTGTAATATAAGGACTCATAGTCCTTAGAGATCCGAATAGAGATACTTAATAATAAAACCTATGAGTTGTTGGCCTTAGCTGCTTTTTAAACAGTTATGGGTAAGCAGATGGAGACAGAATCTGTCTATGACCACTGTGGGAATGTGAATGTTTCTTGTATTTTTTTTTTTTTTTATTGAATGGTTTCCATTCCACAGACCACAATGAATTGCCTATTCGGACTGTGTCTGAGTCCATGGGACAGAATCCAAGTTTCTGTTTGTGACCTCTCTGTCTTGTCTGCCAACTGGAAAGGAAAGGGGAAAGGGCAAAGCTTTGCAACTTATTCTTATTTTATTTTATTTTTTCTGCATTTACCACTGCAGAACTCGCTTGTTTATGGTACAAAGTTTTGTAGAAAAAAAAATCGACAATTCCCTCAATTATAATGGAATTTTTCATTATTCTGGTTTTTGAAGATGTGACAAATGAATATTTTCTAGCCTTACTAGCCAATATGCTAGGTACTTTTTCATTTTTTACAAGAAATTAAGACATAGAGTAACTCATTGGCACTCAGATAGCAGTGATAGAGGGCTTTGAATTTGGTTGAAGCACAGCAGAGCCTGTGCTGCTGGAAGACTGCCCTGGCTCCTTCAGGTCAGATCAGTGAGCATGAAAATAGCTACATGTTTGCAATGACTGAACTGTCCCGTTTCTTACATTTCTGTCATAAGCTGGGATGGTTTGGATGGAGTTTGTTCCCTCAAGACTCATCTTGAAGTTTAACACCTATGGTCAGGTGTTAAGACGGAAGAATGAAAACCCAACTGTGGGGAGACATGCCTTTTTATAGAGCATTCAAAAGGCAGAGGCAGGTGTATTTCTGTGAGTTTGAGGCCAGCCTAGTCTATAGAGTGAGGGTCACACATTGAAATCCTGTTCCAAACCCTCGTCTCTCCACCAGAAAAGATGGCAGAAATGTAATTCAACTACTGTATGTGGAGTGGGCTTTCTAGGAAGAGTTAGTCAGTGAAGAGCATGATAGACAACACACGTGTATATATGTATACACACATATATGTCCACACATATATACATATGTACTTATGTATTTATATATATATGTGTATATATATGTATATATGTATGTATACACACACACACACACACACACACACACACACACACACACACATATATATATATATATATATATATATATATATATATATATATATATA